ATATATATATATATGTTATTGCATTCTATCTTTATCTCGCGCGTAGGATATTATCGCATGCTATTATCTCACGTGCAGGCTGGATGGGGATCGCATGCTTCTCTCTCCTATTAACCTTATCGTATTTAAAACGCAGGTGACTCTCCTTAAGCATCGATTATTGCGTGTCGACAGCACACGTAGCTCTACGTGTGCTCTCCGCACCTAATAATTAAACCTCCTTAAGATCTCGGAAGTTCTTCTCTAGCCGCGCCCCTAGCAGCTCTTGCAAAACTCCTCCTGCCTGCTCGGTCTCGCGAACGACAGTCCGTTCTCACCTGCTCGCCTCGCCTCATCTCTCTGCATTGAAGTTCCGCTCACTTTCTCTATGCACCACAAAACCCTCACAAAAGATTCTTGATTTTTATTGAGAGTTTTCTTAAGTGATCCGTTCGCTCAATATGTAATTAACTATAGGGGTTTGCTCTTATAGAGAACTTAAAAGAACCCAGACTTAAAATAAACCCTATTTGACTATCATATCGAATAGGGGAATCTATCGGTTATCATGCAAACTTGTAGATCAAACAAAAGTCATTTATTTCTATAGTTTATTTAATTGATTTTGTTATCAAATAGTGTATTACCTTTTAGGGTGGTACATTACTCGTGGTTAGCTCGATTATTCAAACTGTAGGAATCAATGAGATCAGTTTGACCCAATTTTCTTCAAATCAAAATACGTAATTTCTAAATACTATAATTTCTAAATTAAACTGCACCCAGCTGTATGACGACCGACACACACTCTCCCTCTTTGAGCTCACATTGCTAGGATGATACGTAAAAAAAAAAAAACAAATAATATTTTTTTAAGAAGTTTAACAATTATGTAAAAAATAAATGGAAATGTATTTCATAATTATATAAATTTTTGAGTTGTAAAGGCTTGATTAATTTAAGTCATATTGTGACTTGAAATCCATAACTCTACAATTTATGAAAAATAGCCAATATAAATTACAATATGTTAGCAAAACTCAAATAAGAGTAGTCAATGTCAAAATTTCCAAACAACTTAAAGAATACAACATTAACCCCAATATTTTTCTAACAAAGACAAATCCGTAAGATCTTGACAATTAATTGGATTCAATGGTTAATATACTTCCTAATTTTATATGGAGAGAGCCCACTATTGATTAATTTGTCGTGGATTGATGTTTTGCTATCAACTATCACGCTTAAACTGGGTTGAATATAGCCTAAACATATACATTATAATTCTGCATCTTCTAAAAAAAAAGACATATTATCACAATCAATGAATCCTATTCATAAAACTATTTTGAACTATGCTCGACCACATAAATGTTTTCTCTTTTTAGGATTTCATTTAAAAAATTGTATGCCTCCTTCACATAAATTTCTCCCCCTTATAAATATATATTGAATTTTCATGTAAGTTAAAACATCATGCAGCTAATTTTCACCACACAATATATATGCTTTAAAGCCATTTTTGACGAGTAAGGGTCTATTTGAGTCAGCTATTGATTATTTATAATTTGCTGATAAACAGATTATTCTTATAATCTGATACTCTGTAGATTATCAAAATAAGCTGACTTGCTGTTTGGGGGGGCTTATTCAGAATAACTTATTGATAGCTGTTGCAGGATAAATGACCGTTTTGCCTCTGTTTGGTGAAACTGTATGAGAGAAATAATACACAAAACAGAAGCCTCAAACTGTTATAGATCAATTAAAAAAAATAAAATATACTGCTCACTATCTCGTGAGTATCAGAAGAAATAAAATTAGGAGAAATACAATTACAATTAAAAGTTAAAATATTAATTTAAGGTTTACAACCTCAGCTCTACTTAAAATTGATATGTATGAATTTCAGATTTTCCATAAAACCAATCCATATGAATTTCAGGTTTGCATAAAGCCCACTTAAATTAATTTCAGATTTGTATAAAGCCAACCTGCGTAAAACCAAACTGCATAAATTTCAGATATGTAAAAAGCCAAGGTTACTGAGTATTTTAACAAGTCTTTATATTTTTTACCATCCTTTTCAATACGTATTTACACACCTAAAACCCAAATTTCACATTTATAGCATCCAAATCTTTGATGGATATAAAAAAAAACGACATCGTGTAGTCGTAGACATGGAGCCGAGTACCCGTACTCCCGACGTCGATGACGATGCTGAAACAAGGGGGATCAATCCTTTTCGGAGAAAGAAGAAGGTAGAGAAAGAGCAAAACTGCGAAAGCGGCGGGAAAGAAGATCTAGAAGGTAGGATGGTACTGCGTTAATGACGTTCTCCGGTGAATAGGGCCTGAGTAGAGGAAGGAGGAAGACATCATTCACAATCCTTCCTTCCTCCGCTCCTGGATTTCTACACATGACTCGTTGGCATGGTCACAAGCCGAGTGTTCCCCTTCTACGGAGCCATTACCGCTACCACCCCGCCGTGCGTAGTGGAGCTGTGACTCCTCGATTTTGAAGGGAAGGAGAGAAGGAATCGTCTATCACGGACGAAGAAGGAGCCCGGGAAGGCGATCGATGAGCGCCCGCGACATTAGCAAAGGAGTGAAGCTCGCCGCCGTTATAAATGGGGCCGTGGGAGGATAGCGAGACGGAGGGTTGAAATGCTACAGGCGTTTCACGAGAGATAAGTTGCAAAAGGGAGAAGGAAGAATGCGAGGGAGAGTAGATCCGGGGGCGAGCAAAGGGCACAACCAGAAATATTACACTAACGTGATAATTAGACGCAGGACGTAGGCCTCGTCCCTCTTTGCGCTCTATTAAGAAATTTGGATTCGGCGTTTCAGAGCGACACAAAAAAAACAAACCCCCAACGTGTTTTCAAAACGCTGCGGCGGCATTTTCAAAACGCCAAACGGGGCCTAACTTTAGTACCTAATTAGTTTACTCATCAGTTTGAACATTTAAAAAAACCAAAATCACCTTAAAATTATTTAAAAAATTAAAAAGTTTTGATATTATTTTAGGCTAAATCATTCTACGTTAAATAAATCATTTAACATCAATCAAAATCAAGCTCAATCAATTAGATCCATTGACAACATTTATAAAAGTAGAAATATAAAAATCAAGCCAATTTTTCCACTTTCATTGACCTCACTCCTCTTCTTGATGCTTTTCCAAAAACATAATAAAACACTTTTTTTTTTTAATTTTTGCATCTTTACCCTTTCAAATTTATATGTGTGATTTTGGTTTCTGCAATTTTACTTCAAATGAGCACCGAAGGAGAAGGCGGCGAGGATGCCTTATATAGGCCAGCTTTCTTTGTTCCATCCCACCGCCATAAACCCTAAACCCTTGGCTCATGAACCACGTATTTGAATAATTGCAGGGAGAGACAAAGCAGAATCATAGCTAATGGCGAAATTAAACGATTCCCCCGCGTCTCCCCCTTGCCGAAGCTATCACTTCTTCAAAATTTTTTTGCCTAATCTCTCCTCAACGCACCTGGTAAGCCTTTGATCTTTTTCTTCCGAAACATTGCGGTGAATTTTTAATTCGAAGTTCGGCATTGTGTTGTTCGCAGAAGATCCCGCCGGCATTTCAACAGTACGTCGAGGGTCAAGCCCCTGCAAGATTTTACCTTAAGGGCCCGAGCGAGTACGTTTGGGGTGCAGATTTAGTGAAGAAATCGGATGGATTGTTTTTAACAGACGGGTGGGAAAATTTCGCGTTCGACCATGATCTCGTCGCCGGGGACTTTCTCCTTTTCAAGTATAATGGGAGCTTAACGTTTTCTGTGATGATTTTTGATAACTCCGCGTGTGAAAAGGAGGGAGCCTTTTTCGCCCGGCCCACCTGCGATGAGAAGGTTAGCTTTTCCCTGGACGAGAGATTGAAGGAAGAGGAAAAAGAGGAGGCTTTTGTTGCAATGAATCAGTCTTTAAAGAGGAAGAGAACTCTGCTAGACACAAAAAATGATTGCAGGGAGGTTGTCATGGCAACAATGTGGCCAAGGAGAAGGCAGCCTGCAGCCTTGATTTCGGGAAGAATAGGTCAGTTCCCATTTTCAATAATTTCACGCACGTTTTAGTTGAAGGTAATATAGGCATCGGTTATTTTGATATGAGCTACTTGTTTTGAGCCTCTCTTTCTATTGCTAGCAAGGTTCAGAGCGATCTAGGGATACGACCTATCCATTTAACAAAATAATGGAATGCTCACGCGATGCCAACCTTATGCTCTCAGATAAGCGAACTGGTGGTGAGAATTTTTTTTTCCTAGCATTATTTCCAAGTGTTTTATTATGGGGCATTTGCATGCATGCCAGTAGACCGCCCAATTCCTATGTATTTACATATCCAATCCCCCTTTTTTTTTTGCATTTATACCGCCTTTCATATCACATAAAAAAATACTTTTTTTTAAACTTTTTAGCAATACACCTTTTCATCCACGCGTAAGGTGGTTTTATATTTTTTATTTTTGTAAAAGTTGAAGTTTAGATGTTAAAAATGTAAATTTATAAGAATTAAGTGGTACGCGTGCAAGTCTTCCTTTTATTTTTTTTTCAGTATTTATGTACTTTCAATGTTCATATATGATGTTCTACTTGTTGCAGATGGCTCTCAGAAAAAGCAGCAGCACCGAGGCTTTGTATCCCAAAGAAGACCAGTCACACAAGAGGAAAGAGATGATGCTCTTGCAAAGGCACGATCTTTCAAGTCAGACAAACCATTTATGATGATGATTATGAAAGGATCATATGTCTACCATGGCTTTTACTTGGTAATATTTATGTTGATGTCATTTCTTGGTTTTTTTTTTAATGATAACTTAGTGTTCAATTTTTGGGCCATCTATATTCATCTCGGTATGCATGCAATGCACACTCTAAGTTTGTTCCTTTCGTAGAAAATTCTTTCTTTTTATTTTTGCCAACTTATCATTCATGTGTTATGATAATTATGGATGTATACCTCAGAAGTACAAAAAAATGAAGAAATAAGTCTTTGAATATTATTATAGAATTTGAAAGGTGAGATGTTTATTTTTCAAGATAGGTTGCTAAGAGAGGCAACAATAATATGATAGCATTTGAAACATGATCAATTGATAATATTTCAAGATATTTAGGTTGCTAATATTTGCAAATATAATCATTTATTTAAGCCAAACCAGACATAGGATAAGATGGCTTCTATTAAGAAGATTATTACTATGTTCTGTGAGAGTCTAGAAGATCTTAGTCTCGTTCTAAAGTAACGAGGCTTGGTGGTTAAGTGATGAGCTACAAAATATTTTACGAGTGACAAGTATATATTACTTAGCTTTAGAATAGTTATAGGAACGCTAAAAGTAGTACATAAGTGTATTCAACAATGCAAAGCTACGATATTTGATGATAATTGGTTTGATATCAAGAAAGGAAAAATGGTGATATATAAAATATTTGAGGTAAAATAATAATTCTATATAATTTGATCAAATTAGATGCTTTAGAAATGAAGATAGTAAGATCTTACTTAAAACATGAAGGCATTAAGGACCATGGAGATGTGCTGCACAGCATCTTCCTCAGTGTTGTCATTGTTTTCATCATTCTCTAAGTACTTGGGTTTTGTTTGCATTAAGTTTATATCGAGTCTATATTTTTGTACTTAAGACCATTATGTATCCGTTTTTCAAATTTATGTAATCAGATTATGCCACATTATACTTGTTATTATTTATTATTTATTTTTATTTTATGTCAAATTAAGTTTGCATTGCTCATGGCTAGAGTTGATTTTTGCTCTACTCAACATTCATTTGACTAACTTTCTAGCTTTGGCCACTTACTTCCACATTTTCTTTTCACTTTTTCATTCGCTTTTGGTTGTTAATTTCAAGCATATCGGGTCCTCTATCCTTTCATGAATGTTGCCCATTCACTTATAGGTATCTCATGACTATATGCTTTTGACATCATTCACTTTAAAGGTATGAAAATTATTTTAAACTTTGATATACTACGGGAGGTTTTACTTATAAACCCACGAAATCATGTGCTTCTATAACATATATCTCATCAAGTTGTTAGCCATGAGAGTTTGAGCGCAATAGCAATGATATTGTGAGATATACTTTCATTATTTTGGTATCCTTTAAGATAAGTTTGAATAAGCCCTTTGTCCTACACTCCTATAAATGCAAAATATGATTTTATGTATTAGAGGGTGCAATATATTAAATAATTTGTAATATTGAAAATAAACCAAATAAAGATTTTACGCGTGAGAATGCAATAGTAGAAACAATTGTATTATGGTTATATGGTTTATATGGGGTTGAAATCTCTTAAAGAGATATTCGGGTTGAAATCTCTTAAGAGATATTCGGGTTGAACATCTGCATGCATCACGATTGCTACCTATGAACCTCTTTGTAGATGATTGAATCCAACACTAATCATATTTTCATTTAATTTTTTTGATTTGCTAAGAGGATTTACTGAACCTGGCAAGCAGATCAGCTTAACGAGTCTACTAAGAGGATCTATTAAGATAATTTATCAAAAGGAGCTCCTGGGCAGATTGGCATGAAGAAACTGTTGCCAGATCGAAGATATTTATGTATATAAATTATTGATTTTAAAATTTAGTCAACTATTAAGTCAAGCATTATTGAAATGAGAATATTAAGATGGATATATGATAAATTTTGAAATGATAGAATTATTTTATTAAAAGAATAGTTGATGTGAATCTATTGAAAATTGGATAACCAAAAATATGTTTAGGTGGCTTGAACATGTACAAAAAAAAAAAGAAGAAAAAATTATACAAAATGTATCATTAGTTGAGCTGATAGAAGTAGTATTAGAGGATTAGGAAAGAGAATGGGCTGATCTAATTAAAATGGATAGAAGTTGTCTTAATTGCAAAAAAAGTAAATTTAACAACTTATTTAGCACTTATCAACATCGAATAAAGAAATGAGAATTTACAAAGCCCAATTCAGTAGTTCAGATATGAATAATAATGATGATAATGTGTCAAAATTCATGTGAGTTTCTGTAATATATCCTATATAGGATAAGGAGCATGTTGCGACAACTATGTATAGAAGACCTAGTGAACTAATTTAAAAATCTAAATGCTCTTATTATCCTTGATGTTTACAATGATAAGTTTTAAAATAAAAGAATGATGCCTCCTTGTTGTATGTTCCTTTTCTATGGAAATACAAATAACTAGTGGAGACTGCAATGCCTTTGAGCTTTGTTGCTGTCGTTGTTTGCCCATTCTTCTCCTCAATGACTATGGTTTTTGCACTTGCCTCCATAATATTTTTCACTTAAAAAAATGTTCTTGTTGTACATCTTAATGAATTCCGAAGGCATATTTCGACTACATATTTTATGGCAATTGATTTGTACTCCAAAATTTATTGGTCTATATTCTCTTAAAAATCTATGATATGGTTTTGCGCTAAATTGTTGTACCATTATTTCTATTATTGCATTCAAATCCACTTTTCATCATTGTTTTGAAAATAATGCTTTCCAATTTCTAATAAATTTCAATCTTAACTGGTCATAATTTTAGATAACACATTAGTGCATTTGTAAACAATCTTAATAGAGCAATATATATATATATATA